TAGAGACAGGGAGGGGGAGCAAAGACATTATTTCATCCATCAATATACATTCAGTTTTGCTTGGGACATTTTTTTTCATCTAACAAGCAATTGGATCACAGCACTTTGGAACATTGCCAGAAGTAAATATCTCTTTACATATGCTTGTTTTAGACAAAACAAGGGCACTTCTTCAAGGCACCATTCCATTATCCAATCCCTCCGCAGTGGCAACTGGAAAGCAGCCAGTTCTCAAGCCCCCTCAGCTCCACTACTATAAATCACAAAACAGAAGCTTTGCACTTTGATGTGGGCTGCATTTTTTAGGAATAAGTCTTCCATCTTACTGTGCAAAGTAGATGTGAGGAACTGCTTTGGTTGAAACATCATAGCAGAGAAGCATCTCTTTTAACTTTGCAGGACTACCAATACAGTAACTCTAAGCAAATAACCAACGTACTGTTTTCCATTATTGGCCAACAGGTGGTGCTATTGCCTCTTGTAATACTTGGTAACTAAATATTCAGGGTTTGTTTAGTTTGCGAAAGATCCCAGCAAATAGGTTGCAGTGCATACAATACTTTTTCATGAGAGATCTTACCATTTTTTTAAAGACTGGAGACTTTTCTCTCAAAAAGGAAACCTCAAATCACTTTTAGTATAACTGAGAAACAGGTTATTTGCTCAGCTTCAGCTGAGAGGTCCAGGAAAGGGCTAATTTTGGAATATATGAACACCAGTGGGTTGCTGCTGTTGCAGTTGCTATTGTTAGTATCTCTTGGGATCTCAGCATGCAGTAGCAGAAGTAACTGTTGACTCATTCGCTTAAAGCAAACAAATCATAGAAATAAACAAAACCACTAGGAGGGACAGCATCAACACAGAAAATGAACAACAATGAATGTTGCTACATTGTTGTCAGCCCTTGGTTTTCTGTACTGTATCACCCAACAAAATATTTTGAAATTAATTACCTAGACAGGTTTGGACTCTATTTGTCCATCACCAAGATAACTCTCTGAAACAGAACAGAACTGGACCAAATTTGATGTCACATGACTCATGATGGATCTGCTGCTAATGGATTGGAAGAATTCCAGAAGCCCTGGTCTGTGTACTCCCTCTAACTTTTCATTCTTTGCAGTCTAATGAATGGAATTAAATAAAACAGGGCTCAGCACTTTGCCCATCAGCATCATAATGCTCCAAAAACTGAACAGAGTGGGACAAAATTTGCTGGTGGGAGGAGGTGAGGGGAGAAGAAAGATGTTCAAAATGACCTAGATCAGATCAGGGTCTGTGAAGGATAACATCAGAAACATTCGCCCACTTACACTTAACAATATTACATCATTTTTTCCTCTTAGCCCTACAGCACTGCCTGTATTTCATTCCTGGCCCATGAGTGAAATAGCCTGAAGTTGTTACTAGCTGTGCTGCTATAAAAGTAATCTCCCCTTCACCTCCCACTCCTCCACCTTAGACTGGCACTATTCCACTTTAACTTCAACCTATGTTAAAACTGTAACACTTTGACGAGAGGAGTGTTGGGAGTGATCTTCCCCTACCCTCTACTCACTAGCCACCCCCTGGCACAGCCATGTGTCTCCAGGCATTAGAAATTGGTTTCCTGCTATTTCTTATCACTCTTCCTCCTTAGAGGTAACTTTTCTCCAGAGCAGAATCCCACTGTTTTATATGGAGAAGAAATAGGTTGCCTCTAGCACTATTGCACTCAAACAATATTCTGAACTACACCTTTATCTTTTGATGCAACAACTGTTTTTCCTCATTACAATGTCCAGAGTGGATGGCGGTGGTCAAGAACATCAAAATGGCAGACATGATTAGGAGATCAAAGACCTGTCCCTTTTTAACTTATGTTGCAGGCCCCACATACCCAAAATGGGGGCAGGATTTTGATCATCCAGCCGCGCCTGCCACTTCAATGTCATGAACTGCTCTTACAGGGTTCCTTGGTCCAGAAAATAATGAGGGATATGTGAATAGCTTTCATTGTTTATTGTTTATTCACCCCTACTTCATACTGGTCAATTCCAATTACCCTCTTTGCCTACCGCCTGCACTTTCTCTT